TTGGGGGAAGGGGATGGAAAATTCTAAAAGGAAGTGATGGAGGACACTTAAAAATAGGACCTCCTGTCCTCAGGTGCTTCAGACACCATCACCCACCCTTGTAGCTCTCCTATCCTAGAAAACAAAGACTAAAAACTCTCTTGGCAACTCTGCAGAAGCTCAGTGAGAAGCACTTGTCAATTTCATTATCATAATGTCCACATTGCAAAAATCCTCCAGTTCTGACTTGGCACATAAAGGGACTTATGCCTGGGAGAGGACAAAAGAACAAAAACCAAACCCACTGGGTCGATTCTGATTCATATCAACACCCATAGGGTTTTCAAGGCTGTGCCCAATCTGTAGGAAGCAGACTACTTCATCTTTATTCCACAGAGCTTCTGTGGGCTTCAAATCACCAACCATTTGTTTAGCAGTCAATCATTTTTAATCACTACGCCATCAGAGCTCCTTTCTCATGCTGGGAGAGAAAAGCCTTTTGAAACACCTATACTGGCAATTCCTTGATGCAGACAACAGAAGAAACTCTCTAGCTGTGGTAGTTAAGGTTATGTACCAACCTGGCTGGTCCTGGTTTTGAGTGGCTGGGCAACTAGATGTAGTTATTTTCCATAATGAGACTGGTAATCAACTCCACAGTGGAGTCTACTGTGAGCAGCTAAGTAGCTGCCTTAAGGATGTGGTCTGCTTCCAGTATATAAGAAGCAGCATTGAGAAAGGTCTCTGAGCTTTGTGGCACATCTGGATGCTGCATTTGGCTGAGTCTTCATCTCAGTGGCCTGCCATGTCATCTGCAAGCTTGAGACTGTTTCTGGACTTTAACTAGTGGCCTGCTGTGTTGCTTGATAATTTTGGGACTGTGCCATTTTACTTACCGACCTTGGGTTTTTCAGCCTCAGCAGCCAGCAGCTGCTTGAGTTAAGAGACACCTCCAGTGGGCCGGGAGCAAGAGGCAGAGCTGAAGCCCAAGGTCGCAGGGCTTTCACCCAGCCCCTGGAGCTGGCCCTTTGAATCTGGACTTCTAGCCTCCTAAACTGTAAGAGGATAAATCTCTTTGTTCAAACCACCCACTTGTGCTATTTTTCTGTTAGAGCGGCACTAGAGGACCAAAACACCAGCTTCGTGAAAATCACCCTTCCTCCTTTCCTCAAGTAGACAGACAGTTAATCACAACAGCCATGAACCTGCCCCTCCCTACAAGCCAATATGACAATACAGGAACAAATGGAATGACCTTTGACACCTTATCATTTCAAAGCTGAAGGGGAGCTTCCAGGGAATCATCTATAAGGACTTCTCAGGCAGCCACAGGAGGTGGGGGCAAATGACCATCGGGCTTCATATAGGCAAGTGTAAGATAATCTGGGTGATGCATTGAGTGGACATATTAAAATGAAAACGCCTGTTATCATGGGAAAGGGGATACTGAGTGGCAGGTCTGGAGTCCAGGAGAGAGATCCATCTGGCTGGGCTGAGTTATAAACTCTATATACCAAACCCAATTGCCTTGAGTTGATTCTGACTCATAGTAACCCTGTAGGACAGAGTAGAACCACCCCATAGGGTTTCCAAGGCTGTAATCTTTACTGAAGCAGACTGCCACATCTTTCTCCCGCAGCTGGTTGGTTTGAACCACCCACCTTTCAGTTAGCAGCCAGGTGCCTAACAACTGTGTCACCAGGGCTCCTTTTTAAGTTCTATGTAGGACACTCCATTCCTTTAGAGTAACTGGAGATGTTGAGCCACATGCAATTTTGGAAAAATCATGACTGTATCCAAAATACTGGAACAGTATTAAGGAAAATGAAATCAAAATTCACCATATCCTGCCATCCTAAAAACAGCTGTTTTCATTTCTCCACATTCCCTTCTGTTTTTGCTACATGTATACATAATTTTATAATGTTGAAATCATCATTTTCATACAACTTCATATTCTACTTTTTTTTGCCCCACTAAACATGATCCCATAAACATTTTCATATGTGTTTCTTGAGGATTACAAAAGCCAACAAAATTCTGGAAAACATTTTAGGAACAAAAACAGAAGATCTACTTTGGTGCAAAGCTTGGCACCACTACAGATGTTTGTGTGTATTGTAATCTTTGTGGACAATGACTCCCTGTGGAGGCAACTTTGAGCTGAGACCCGAAAGATGAAAGGTGACCATGTGTCTGATTTGAGGAGATGGCATTCCAGGCAAAGAAGCAGCAGCAAGTGCAAAGGCCCTGAGGAAGCAACAGGACAGTCCAGAAGAAGGGTTACTGGAAGAGTTATTTCAACTGATAATTAAACAGAAATTTATTTTATTTCTGTGAAACTTTAGGAATACTGATTGTAATTAAGGTAAACTACAGAAGAGTGGGGACAGCCTTCAACTGGGATTGTCTGTAAAGGAAGACAAGCCATAATGGAATAATTTAGAGTTTAGGGAATTCTAGGAGATGTATTGGTTCTTAAAGGGATAGGGCATCAGACTAACACACACACACACACACACACACACACACAATCTGGTATATTCCTTTACCTCAGTTCCTCACCCAGTACCTGAGTTCAGCTCTTTAATTTTATAGAAAAGGCCCAAACCCCAAAGGAGGTAAATAACTGTGCAAAATCATCAGCTACTTTGTACAGGGCTTTAACTGGTTAATTAGCTTCCTCCCTCCCCTTTAGACTTTCTAAAAAACAAAACATGATTCCTGTGCACACGACTGCACTGTTGACAAAGCCTTGTACTAGGTGGAAAATGTCCCCATATGACTCACCAGTCTATCATTTGTATAAAGTTATTTACACAAAAACAAGAAAACTATTGAGAAAACCACTTGTCCCAGGAAAATTATTGAGAAAACCATTTTTCTCTGGCTCCAGACACCGAAATCTGGAAGTCTGATCCATTCTTCCTCCCAGAGCCAGCAGGGGGCGGACAAGCAAGGTTTGTAAGCCGCGCCTCCTGGGAGTCCCCTCCCCCTCCTCGTCCAACTTCCCCATAGCCGCTTCAACTGAAGTGGCCATTGACCTTTCAAGCTTTTGAGCAGTGATGCAATAGAATAGTATTTCAAAGAAAAATAGTTATCGAAATTTTGGATCCAGTGTTCCCGTGAGGTTAATGCTTTTTTAAAAGGTCACATTTAAAGTAGGTCACACTTCAAGGGGGGGCAAATAGGCAAGAAAATGAGTTTTCAACTAAGCCTAGGCGGCCTCCAATGGGGTGGGAGGAGGTGAGTGTCCCCAGCAGGGACGGGGTGCCGATAGTTCCAGGTCCGAGGAGCTAGTCTTGCGGGGAATTGCGGAGATTAGCTCTTTGCAGACTGCGGGCACCGAGGCCTGTACCTCTCGGGCGCGCAGATAAGGGCACCCCCTCCGCCACCCGCGCAGGTGAGCAATCCCGCGAGGAGAAGGGAGGGAGGAGCCGGGCTGGGCTGGTGCTGGAGACTGAGAGCGGGCGCGCCAGGGGGAGGGACTCAGAGCGCCGGCGCTGCTTAAGGAGGCTCCGCTCGCCCCCGGGTCCTGCCTTCTAGCACCTTGACCAGGGGTTGCCGGAGGACAGCCCCTGACTCGCTCTTTCTATGCCCGGGGCGTGGACACGACGGTTGGGCGGGGAGTCCCGTACCCCATCATTGTGTCTTAGAGGAGGAGGGGCTCGTTTCCGAGAACACCCAGTCTCCCCAGTGCCCCTATGTGCGGCGTGAGGGTCACATCAGGAAGGCGCGGAGGAGATGGGAAAATCGAAAACCCCGCGGCGGGCTGAGGGCGAGGAGATAAGGACTCTGGCGCATTGCTGGCACGGGTGGGGTACAGGCTGCCAAAAAGGGGACGGCGGTGGCAAGGGGCTTCACCTGCTTGCCCCCAGGCACCATGGGGAGTGTGTGTTGGGGGGGGGTCCAAAGGAGGGAGGATTACCGGGCGCCCAGAATGCCCTTCCCCGCACCCTAGTACCGTGCGCCAGTTTCCCTTGAAGCCTGCGCATTAGCGCCGGAACCTCTTTAAAGCGGTAGCCAGCGCCGCGGTCACGTGAGGCAGATTCCTGGAAAGTTCCTGGAAAGCGGCCTCCGCAGGAGCCGGGCGGGGCGAGGAGGGCGGGGAGCGCCGAGGGGGAGAGGGAGGCGGGGAGCTGGAGAGGCGCGTCGGACTGGGAAGGCGCGCGCACACACCACTCCAGGGACCGGCGTTTAACTCTTGCCAAGTCTTCCTGCCGCTGCCGCCGCGGCTCGCGGGCCTTGGGCTTCCCCTGAAGCATGAGCCTCCCCGCCCTCAGCCACCGGCGCTGCGCGAGCCGCGGACCGTGCGCGTCGGAGTCCCAGAAGCCCAGCCTCAGGATCTCCTGCGCCGGCAACCCGGACCCCGGAGGAGTGCGAGCCGGGGCTGGCGGCAGGTACTGGGTGGGGGAGCCCTGAAGGCTCCGCCCCGAGGAGGGTCGCTGGGAAGGGCACCCGGGCGCGGCCGCGTGAGCCTGGGAGCGGCTGGCGGCCTTTGCTTCCGCAGTTTAGAACCGCGTTCTGCCCGCCGGCCGGGCACTATTGCCTGCTTTCTCCGGTTCCTTGCAGGCGTCGGAAAGTCTCCGGAGTTTTTTTTTTGTCCCCTCCCCTCCTAAACTGCCATCCAAATTAATAATCCTTCTCATAACCTGATCTCCGCTCCTCCCCACCAGCCTGCCTCCCGCCCTCTCGCCTTCCTTCCTCTCTCTCCTTCCCACCTCTTTGGTCACAGCCGGAGGGAAATCCCGCAGCTGCCCCGGCTGTGCGCGAGGGGGTGTCCGACCGCGGAGAGGGGTGTCGGAGCCCGGAGTTCGAGGCGATGATCCTTGGGGCTTCTGCCTGCCCACTGCGCACAGAGCTCAGGCGGCCGTCGCCGCCGCAGACCTCAGGACGCGTCGCATCCCCGGGTGTCGCGTTCCCCAATTAAACGTCAACAGGGGAAACTCGGGCAGACAGCCTTCCTCTCCCGGGCCCCTCCCGGTTCCTCCGCCCCATGTCCGCTGGGGAAGCTGCCTGGTGCGGAGGTGGTGGCCGTGGCCGAGGCCGAGGTAAGGGCTCGGCGTTTGTCGTCTGCCTGTCCCTCCGCGTTCGCTGCCACCCTCTCGGCTCCGGCCCGGATTTCCCGCTCGGGCCGATTCCTCGACAGCGCCCGCGGCGGGCGGCCGCAGCAGCAGCTGGCCCAGCCCCGGAGCGGCCGCCGCGGCTCCCGGCGGCGCCCTCCACCCCTGCCCAGAGCAAGCGCCAGGAAGCGGGGGAGGGGAGCGAGGCTGCTCGGGGCCGAGAATGCGGCAGGTCCGCACCTCCGCGCCGCGGGCTGGGGGTTCGGGCCCCGGGAGCCCCACGGCTCTTTAGGGCGGGGAACAAGGTGCCGCTGCCTCCTCCCAGGGACCCTCGGGCTGCGCAGGGCGTGGGATGTAGGTGCCAGTTTTGGGGGAACTCTCCTGTTCTTTGCATTTTATTTTTTCCTACTTGTCCTTGACAAGATCGTATTCCCAGCAGACCTGCAGGTGACTCTTTTGCTCGTCCTAGCCTGTGATTTAAGCGAGCAGCCGCGGGCGGGAAGACACCCTATTCCCCACCCTCATCCTGTCTCCCCACGCTCCCCCTTTCCCCGCCAACTCTGCGTGCTTGGATCCGTGCTCGCTCTTTATCCTCTCTCTAGAGCTGGGCCCAGGCGGTAACTGGATGCTTGGGGTTAAACGGTGCACGATCAGAGAGGCAGAGGAGTCCCCGGGATCTTCCACGTACCCCCGACTCCTCTCCTCCCGCAGCCCAGCCTCAGGGGTCCAATTTGGACTGACCCAACCTCCCACTTTCTCGTTACAGGCAAACTGTGGGTGACCGCGCCTACGGGGGACTTTGCTCTCCGTGTGCTCAGCCCTGGGGAGGAAGAACCGGCAGTTCTCCATCCCCTCCCCCTCTACTACCATTTCGGACACCCCACAGGGACTCGTTCTGGGGTTCCCACTGACTTTAAGGAAGGGCGCGCCCCTCTCTCTAACCCCACTTCAGGCGGACACCTGTCTCTGCCGTGGTGACATTTCCTTCATGACCCTGCGGTGCCTCGAACCCTCCAGGAATGGCTCGGACGGGACAAGGAGCCAGTGGGGTACTGCGGGGTCGGCCGAGGAGCCTTCTCCGGAAGCGGCGCGTCTGGCGAAGGCCCTTCGGGAGCTCAGTCAAACAGGTAGGGAAGGGGCCGGCCCTGACGCGAGGAGGATGCAGGAAGGGGCGCTTCCCCAAAGACTGGGCTGGGGGCTGCGCTGGCCACGTGGGGTCGAGGTGGGAAGCAACGAATGGGAGGACAACGGTCCCTTTGCTTCCCGGTCCCACTCAGGGCGGTTGACGGCGGAGAGGATGTCCGCACGGCCCTAGATCCTAGGGAATGCGAAAGGAAAGTGGTTCTTGTGGGACTCAGAAGCGTGGGGGAGGGCAGAGTGCGAGAAGGGCTCCTCGGAAATAGCCTTCCCGGGCGCTGGACCTTTACTATTTTTCCGCGGCTACTCAGGGGCACTCGGGCTCGAATGCTGGCCGAAAATGCGCCTGGCGCCTCCCTTTTCCCGGGATGCAAGGACGGCGAGTGGCCGCCGGGCTCCCGCGCTCCCGGCAGCTCTGGCCGCACCCGGCTCCCTGGCGGAGCCGCGGCTGCAGTCCGGGATCGTGGCGGCCAAGTCCAGGGCCAGGCGGCCTGCGTCGCGGCGGCGGATCGAAACAACCGGGGCAGCTAGCCCCCGCCGCCGAGCGCGGCCTCCGGGGGCCGCCGAGCCCGGGGTGTTGATTGAAGGGCAGTCCTGGGCTGTGCGCAGCTCTCTGTCGCCTCTCGGCATCTAGAAGAAAAATAATATTTTAATTTGGGTAAATTACGCAGGCTTTCAAAATCTGGATCCTAAAAGTATAGGTTTGGGGCAAAATTGAAGTTTCGAAAGCACTAAGGAGAAGGAAAAGCTTGCGGTCCCTGTCTTTTTTTTTGCGGGCTTTTCCCTCAGTAGGAGGGACCCGCGGATTTTAGGGGGGAGGACACATTGTTTAAACTTCTTAAATGCAGAGTAACTGAGTCATTTTTGAAAAAGGAATGGGCCCGGGAAATGGTGGAGGCAGATCAAATCTGGAATGCTGGGGTGAACCTACGGTTGTGATTGAATTTGGATTAAGGCAAAGTCCCAAAGAGTTTAGTTCAGATTGTAAACTTGAAGTAGTAATAAACAATCGGACTTCCCTCATTTCTCAATGAGTGAAAGGCAGTTGTAATCACAAGCAGCAGACGGAAGTTTTTGTACTAGAACTGTACGTTTTCAACAGGTAAATAGTAGTGTTTTCCAGGGCTTTGAACAAAGTAATGCAGCCATTAACACATCTTCTGGGTGATGGGTCGGGGAGCACAAACCACCGTAAAAGTTGTTTCTGCTCTTATTCACCTGGAATTATTGGAGTTGGATTTCCCACTTTTTTAAGGGCATGCGTAGCATTTATTTCTAACTTCTGATTTATTTCAAACCCACCTTAAATCTTTCCTATAAATAATACATTGTGGTTTGTTAGCCAGTGTGTCACATTGCAAATGTTCTTTTGTTTCATTAGGAGAAATTCTTTAAGAGAACTTAAAGAACAGGTACAGAAAGTTATTTTCTTGAAAAAGAAAACTCACCTAGTTTGTGTTCATAGAATAAAATGGATCCAAAATGGCATTAAATTTCTACCAAAAGTATTATGACAGCCCCTGGAGAACTTTCACTTGCAAACTTTTTTTAAGAGCTAGAAAAATTATTGCTAAGTACTCTCCCTATTCTAAAGATTCTTACAATAATTATTTTACCTTCTTCTTTTTTTTTTTTTTTTTTCCTTTTTGAACAAAACCCCCAGGATGGTACTGGGGAAGTATGACTGTTAATGAAGCCAAAGAGAAATTAAAAGAGGCACCAGAAGGAACTTTCTTGATTAGAGATAGTTCGCATTCAGACTACCTACTAACAATATCTGTTAAAACATCAGCTGGACCAACTAATCTGCGAATCGAATACCAAGATGGGAAATTCAGATTGGACTCAATCATATGTGTCAAGTCCAAGCTTAAACAGTTTGACAGTGTGGTTCATCTTATTGACTACTATGTTCAGATGTGCAAGGATAAGGGCACCGGCCCAGAAGCCCCCCGCAATGGCACTGTTCACCTTTATCTGACCAAACCGCTCTACACGTCAGCACCATCTCTACAGCATCTTTGTAGACTCATCATTAACAAATGTACCGGCACCATCTGGGGACTGCCTTTACCAACAAGACTAAAAGATTACTTGGAAGAATATAAATTCCAGGTATAAGTGTTTCTCTTTTTCTAAACATGCCTCATCTAAAGTATCTCCGAATGCAGCTATGTAAAAGAGAACCAAAACTTGAGTGACTGCTCTAGGTAACTCAATGGAATTCTTTCTAATAACAGCTGAAGCCAACATAATTTAAGTGTGTGAAGAGGTAGCTGGCTATTTAAAGTTCCCCTATGTATTTTTTACTTGAGTGATGCTTCCCTTCCTAAGGCTAACCAAGACCAGTTGATCCTTTTAAATTAAAAATAAAATGTTTCCAGTGCAGGCTGTAGGAGCATTTTATCAGAATAACTTGCCTTTCTGTGGTTCCTTTCCACTAGGTCTAAGCTCCTAGTGCCGGTGGTAGATTAAGAGCTCCTCATAGGAGCACTGAAGAAGTGGAAGGAATCAAGCTGACACAGGGTTAACTTCAATTTCATATGCCTGGTGATCAGAGTCTGTTTTGGGAGATGTGTATTTTGCATTCTGATGTTCCTAGGAGTTGCGTTAAACAGATTGTGCTTGTGAGTATTTATCCTTCATTTTATGCAATTAACCAAGTCAACCAAAAAAAAAAAAATTGACCATGACATCCTGTGTTTGTCTTTTTACTACATGTATGAACTCTCTCATGAATGCGAACTGTAGTAAACCATTTAAAGGAAGCCTTACTTCAGAAATATTTCAAACTGGTGCAAACGGAAAAGACTTCCTCTTTTCCTTTAAGGCTAAAGACAAGAATGTCATGCTGTACAGGTGCAACTCAGTCCCTGTTAATAACTCCAGTGTAGTATAGACATCTTACCCTGTTGCAGTAGATGTGGTCCAACTTGTTGCCATTGATTCTTTCGGAAATGGCTTTAGAAATTTGCAAGTTGTCCTTGAATTATCTAACCACGGACATTAACATTTATCTCCCTGTACCATGTAGAATACTTTGACTTAATTTTCTTCCAGACACAGGGGGATACCTGCCTATTTTTCAAAGTGTTTATTTACTACTGTTACTATTGGATTAGAATGTATTAAATAAATTTTAAAAACCCGTCTTTTACAAGTTGCACTTTTTACTTTGAATTGTAGAGCACATACACTTTGGCAATAGAGGGTTGTCCTAAAATCTTATGTTGAGTGAAATAAGTCGAATATTCAGCAAGGGGTAGAATATGACTTGCCTTTCTCTAAAGTTATGGGATATACCCGTGCTTGCATTTTGGAAGGCAAGGTTTAGAAACTACAGGAATTACCAAGAGGCCTGGCCTTTTACAAACTGAGTAGGCATAACACTAATAATGCCCTTTGTGTTTCCAAAAACATCGTTTAGAAAATACAAAAATGATGACGTGGTCTAGACTTACAAGTTTAATAGGCATACCACAAAATAAAAATGAAAAGTTTATGGCCATTTATTTTTTGCCTACACTATGTCATGATGCAAACACACCATATTTTCTGGAACCTAGACGTTATTCATTTGGCTGCCTTTTATTTCCTGCATAGCTACATGCAGAAGGCAAACCTAGTGTAACATGTATGTACCCTGACAGAAGTAGAAGGTTCTTATAAATCATAGTGAAGCCTCCTCAATGCATATCTTGCCTTATTTTTATGAAACTCTTAAACGGTTTTGTGCCTGGAAGGAAACAAAACTGTGTGGGCCTAAACAGCAGAGGGTAACAGAAGACTGCTAGGTGGGTGTGCCTTAGGAAGGAAGAGTTCATCACCCAACATTTAAAGAAAAGCTAGAGTTTTAGGTCTGATCTACGATGAGAAGAGTCTTTTCATTAGGATGCTAGGGTTCTGTGCTTTATTTACCCTGTTTCTCCCCTGACAACAATTGTCTAGTGTGGGCTATCTAACTTTTCTGGCAGCAGTCCACAGGAGCACTGCCGTGGATGGGTTTTGTGCAATTACTTTAAGATCTTCTGCGTTTCTATTATTGTTTCAAACACTCTGTTTTCTTAATTATTGAGAATGGAACAACTGAGTTACCAAGAGTGGGAGGCACTAAAAAAAAAAAAAAAACAACCAAACTCATAGTGATCCCTCCTTGGGTTTCCAAGGCTGTATCTCTACAGAAGTAGGTTGTCCAGTCTTCCTTCCAAGGAATGGCTGGTGGGTTTGAACTGCCAACCTTCTGGTTAGCAGTCAAATACTTTAGGCACCATGCTACCAGAGCTTCCTAGTTGGGTATTATACCTGTGGAATTGTGAAACATTCTGCTTTATTGCTTTGTTGTTGACATTTGGCGACACTATGTGTGCAGAGTAGAACTGCTCCATCAGGTTTTGATGGCTGTGACCTTTTGGAAGGAGATTGCCAGGCCTGTCTTGGCAAGGCAGTGCTAGGTGAGTTTGAACTGACAACCTTTTGGTTAATATTCGAGCACTTAACAGTTTGTGCCACCCAGGAATTCCTTGCATTATTGCTTACTAGCAAGTGATGAATATGAGAAAGCTAGAGGACAGGAAGTCGATAAACATCTGGAGATAGTCCTTTTTTTAAATTTTTTTAAACAATTACCACTGTCCTTTATTTACTGAGTTTATTGTGTGTGCCAAGTAGTTGCTGAGCTCAGCATTTTACATGCATTATCATTTACTCTTCACAGCCAGTGAATGTGAATGTACAGAGTGTGCCAGTTACAGGCGGTGTAGGCCTTTTGATTGATAGGTGAAGAGGCCTTCCAGGAATATCTTACCCCCTCTCGTTCCTAGAGAGGAGTTACCAAGAGGGAATTGCTGGTGAGCATCTCGTCATTGGTCCACGTGAACCGGGCAATGCAGGGTGTGCAGGGAGCCCTCACCATTGTTAGTGCTGCCTCATTCAGAAGACTATCAGTACCTTCATTCATGTCGTGCTTTGCAGGATTCAAGGCAGCTTGGCCCAGTGGTTTTTCCCCTGAATATTCCTGAAAGGGGAAGTCACCCTAACTGATGTGTATATGGGGAGGGGGTTAACTCTTACTTGGTAGCTGGTAAATGATGCCAATTCCCAATTATTAGTAGCCCCCTTTTACGCAAAAGATGTACACTTGTCTAATTTATCCTCAACGGAGCTGGGAAAAATAACCCAATATTCTCTTCCTGTGCGGGGCAGTTTGGGACCTTAAAAGAGTTTTTATTATTGTTATTATTGTTGAAGAATCTAGTCTACAGAACATATGTAGCCTCAAAGACTTGAAGTATTTTATCTGAGTTTCTGTGCTGAGCAGAGATGAGGCAGTGGTGTTTTTCATTACTGTTACAGTGGGCACTGGTGGCTGCTTTTTAGGGATGCGGGGGAGATTTTTAGGGCTTTGGGCAGTGGAGAAAAGGCCGTTCAGCATTCTGAGTTGAGAGTTGTCTTGTTCTCTTTCAGTGGGTTGGGAAGAAAGTCTTGACTTCATAGTAATTATGTAATCCAAATAGGTAACAGAATGGGACGGTTGTTTGGGAGTGTTTATTTTCTTGGGAAGGATTTTCTCTGCTTTTAGAAAATTGTACCCTGGTAGGAGGGTAGGAGACAGAGATGTCATCAAATAATCCAAAGGATGGAATGTCCTGAGACTAAGGCCGTGCCCTTCTGGGCTGTGGGTTTAGGCCCCGCAGGTGGGGGCTGTTGGGGAAGCGTCATTGGCAGCCCAGTCTGCTGCTTACCGGGTTGAGCAGCGGTGCTCCATGCTGACGAAGGCAGAGGCCTCTGATTGGAGTAGTCCTTCCTAGCATTTGGAGCAGAAAAGTGCCGTCATTCAGTTCTGCTCTTCGTTACTAAGCAGCCTGTATTTTCTTCTCCCAGTTTTAAACTTCCTAGGATTTTAAAGCTTGAAACCCCTTTCCAGATCACATTTTAGTTCTCTTATTTTACTGAAGAAGAATTTCACACCCGAAGAGGTTATGAAAGTTGAAGGGGGCAGAGTTACCCTGCAAAACAATGGCAGAGTTGGTATCAGAACCCAGATATTTTTGAGCTGTTCAGTATTTACGAAAGCTGCACCTTCTATCCTTTGTTTAAATGGTCAGAATTCTTCTCTGCTACCTTGTAAGCCCTCCAGTTATTTTAGCATCACATTTTTCTTCCTCTAAAATGTTGGAACCCCGCGTGAGCTAATTCCACTTCTCGGCTTCTTGCGCCTCACTCCCCAGATTGAGCTTCCGCTGGTTTCATGATGTCTTGTTCCACATCATAGTTCTGCGTTAATTTTAATTCCTCAACGTTTTTAATCTGGTTGCTGTTTTAAAATCCCAAACCTCCCTGCATGCTGTTTTGTGATCTCATTTCGGCTTCTGCCAGCTCTGACTCACACAGGCCTTCGATGCCTGGGGGACTGCCCTTCCGCTTGTCCTCACCAGGATAGTCCATTCCTTCTTTTGCTTGTTCATGGGTATAATGGCGCTGTTAGTTCCTGGTTTATTTTCTCCCTTTTTGTATCATAAAGTTGTCCTTTTAGCTCATCGGACACAGCTCTGCTGTCAGTATTATACTCCAGTGAAAGAGGATAATTAACGTTTTCCTTGAGTTGGGTTAACTGAATGATTTAGAGTACTTTAAGATGAAATCTGTCTCTTCGTCACTCTTTGATTCACGTCAAGTTTTGAAACAAGTGACCAGCTTCAAAGAGCGTTTTTGTCAGGTGTAATTTTTTCTTTTTTAAGTATTGGTGGTTCCTTTTTCACTGTTAAGTTGCATTTCATTTGAACAGAAGAAAATGCAGCTCATTTGTGTACTTTTCCTGCCTACCTGTACGTAAAAACGATTCCATGACCGTTTTATTTCACCCCTCCTACATAGACATACTTTTCTTGTATTCTCATCTTCACATATTTTTGATTTTTCTATTTTTTCCCTCTATGTGGCTTGAGTTCAGATTACTTAACTTTATTACTAAAGTAAAATAACAGCTGTTTGCTAGAGGAGCCTCTAAAGGTCCCAGAGTCCCAAATGCCTAGAGAGTCACTAAGCCGAAGCCACAGAGGCAAAGCTGGATGTTCCTTCCTACCCCTGCCCACGTGTGGTCAACAAGGGTGGCTGGGTCCACCCAGTGTTGTCGCAGAGAATGGAGCTCACTTCAATTCAATAAACATTTACTGGGCCATAAAAATAAATCTGCTTTTATAGACAACTCTCACTGAAACTGCACCCTTTACTTACAGGAACTCTGACTTGTCCCGGAGAGCAGGAGCACATTTTGTGAAGAATTACACAGCTTTCCCTCTGTTAGGTCTAGAGGAGAAGGTGAAGGAAGACGGAGTCTTTGTGAGAGAGAAGGAAGTATGGACAGCCGTCTTCTCTTACCAGTTGCCTTCAAGTCAGTTTCAAATCATGGTGACTTGATGTGTGTCAGAGTAGAACTGTGATAGGATTTCAGTGGATGATTTTTTAGAAATTAAATGGCCAGGTCTTTCTTCGAGGCACCCCTGGGTAGATATGACCTCCAGCCTTTTACTTAATAGTCAAGCCTGTTAATCATTTGCATCCAAGCAGCCCCTTTGCTGTGGTGGAGAGAGTGAGACTTTTTTATTTTGCTATTTAAACTATTGATACTTGATGAAATTTTCATGTATTTCTCTACTTTCCAACAGTATTAAGATAACATTTATTTTTTTGCTGAATAAATTTGCCCCTTCTGTTACTTTGATATGCTTTTTCCTGTTGAGATTTTGGTCCGGGGGGCTGCTGTGATCTTTAACATTCAGATAAATATTTCCCATGTCATTTCTACCTAGAGAACCTGTTTGATTTCCCATTTTAACATCCTTTCTGCCATCTTGATGTACTTGACTCTTCTTAGGTTTCCAGCATGGTTTCTGTCTCTTCATCTTGATTGTTATGTTTTGGTCATCAATACTGTATTTGGTCAGAAAATGTGTTTGTATTTTTTACATTTGATTAAGGTATCTGCTCTCAATTATCTGTAGTAATGAGGGACAGGGAGCTCTGGTAGCATAGTGGCTAAGGCACTTGACTGTTAACCAGAAGGCTAGAGGTTCAAACCCACCGCCACTCCTCGGAAGGAAGATAGGGCAATCTACCTCCGTAGTGATACTGCCTCGGAAACCCAAGGAG